TAATGAGTTAAATACCATTTGCGATGCGATATCATGAGAGGTACAGATGAGCTGTCAGTCCCTTTAAAACATTGGCGTGACTTATGTTTTCTTTGAATGTATAGACAAATACACTTTTGATATGTATTTTCGCTATACTCTTGTGGTTTGATATTCAATATGCATTGAACTCTCGGTTTTTTATATGCGATTAATTAAAATGCAATGTTTTGTCGCATTATAACTATTTTTATGTAATTATAAGTTTGACTAAAAGTTAATTATAGAAATACTTGAAGTGCTAGTCATGTGTTTGTTAAGCGATGTATGTGTTTGTATAGGATTTCATGTGATTTCAAAATTTTAATGAAATGTATTTTTAATGATTTTTTTTCAATTTCATTGACAGATCTGTGCACTGCCCAGACGGCTGTCCAACAGTCCCAGACCACCGCCAATCCTGCAGTCAATATTACGCCCTCAGCGGCCCCCATAGTCAGCACCGTCCCCGCCAATGCACCCAAAAGCGAGCCAAACGCCAACCCCACGACAACTACTGCTCCGGTGTCGACCACCCCTGTGGCGCCTGTGACACCCCCTCCCATACCCAAACCGGAGCAGTGGAACGGGACCGTCACGGAGGGCAACGTGACCTGCATTCAGGCACAGTTTGCCATACAAGTGGTCGTCAAATATAACGATACGAACGGCAAGGAACTGGAGGGCGGGTTCGTCATACCCAAGAACGCCACTGTCAGCGGCAACTGCGTCGGACAGTCTGAGCCCTTGGAAGTGATGACCATTAAGTTCACGAATGTGGGCAACACTTCGGCCACTTTGACGCTTAAGTTCAACCAAACGGAGGGCAATAAAACGTTTTACGTGACGGACGTGGAGTTGTCGTTCAATTTGACGAGAGAGCTGTTCCCCGACTTTGTCGACACAAAGCTCTACAGTATGTCGTGATTTTGAACGCTGTATTCAATTGATTGGTGTTTTGTAATGAACTCATTGTATGATTGCAGACACGCTTCAGACGGTTTCAAACCCAAGCGCCGACCTATTCAGTGTGGCCTCGGCTCACGCGTACACCTGCGCCACTCAGTCCGTACAGCTCGAGAAACTGCCCGATGGGGTCAAAGAGATTCAAATCGACTTCACGCAGTCCAAAGTGGCCGCCTTTATGGACCATACGAAAGGACAGTGGGATTCCGGTAGGCGTTGCGTTTGTGTCGCTATTTCAGATGCATTTGTTGACCATTTGTTTCGTGTGTTTTGCGCACAGAAATCGACTGCAAGTCCTCCGAAATCAGTGATGTGGTGCCTATAGCTGTCGGCGCGGCGCTGGCGGGACTGGTGGTCATAGTGTTGATCGCGTACTTCATTGGCCGAAGG